GAACACAATGTGGCCAGTGCAGCCTTCTCACACACCTCAGAAAGATGACACGTGACGGCTGTGCCTACAGTGGCAGACAAGAGAGGATCCATTTTAGTGTGAGCTGGCTCCCCAGCTTTGCTCAGGACCAGTTCAAACAGCTCTCCCCAAGAGAAACTGCACACAAAGCACACCTGAAGCAGCAGCAGCATGGCCAGTGTGCACTGACCATCCTTGGGGACAACCTGCAGCCCAACCCTACAGCAATGTGCACATGGCCAGGAAAGTGATGTGAGACACACACTTCGCTCTACCTCACCTCGACCTTTGGCTGGTGATTCTGTCTTCCATACAATAGTTCTCAAAATAATTCAGTAGTGCAATAATTAGAGTTGTTCTTGTTATTACCTCCAGTCAATTAGTGATCTACCTGTGAAGGGACTTGCCAGCTGCCACAAGCACCTTGCTCTGCAGCTCCCTGGCCCATGCTGTACTCGTACCAATGTCCTTCCCACTGATATTGTCCATTGCTGGCAACATTTGTGTCTCTGACAGTATGATATACAACACTGTCCTATTCCTAAGGAGCTTACAAAATTAAGATACAGAATACAGATACTGAGGGGTCAAATAGGGCCTAGGAAGACAAGAGCACCGGAATCCTAAGTAGGAGAAAAACCTTTTGACACAGAAAGAGAAAAAAGCAATTGGCATCTAAGAACCTGAAGGTTATTTATAAGCACAGCAAGAAGCAGATATGGTGCAAGTATGAAGACATATTAAAATAGAGCAAGCCCCAAGGAACATTAAAAACTGTACTGGAGCAGCAGACTCTGGTCACATCTGTTCTCCTAAGGAATTGGCTGAACCATCCCTCGGTCCAGAGGACATGTGAAACAGACCCGCTGGCACCCACACAGCACTGGGCCTGCTGCTCCTCTCCATGCCAATGCATCTGCCTGGGAGAGACGCGTCTGGAGTCAGCCAGGAGCAAGCCAAGAGTCAGCTTGAACCACAAAATGGTCAGTGCTCAAGCTGTGCCCTGGCTGTGTCCTTCAGCAGCAGAGGTGAAGGAAAGGTAGCAGGTGTAGGGTGGGAAGAGGCTGGTGCTGGAGACGAATATCTGTGTTTCAAAGGAAAAGGAGAAGTACAGAAGTTAAACTGGAGAGGCAGGGAGGGACCCTATCTTAAATTAGGTGAAGAGAATACATGATCAGACTAAGAGAAAGAAAAGGTGAATGGCACGAATGACCCTTGCCATCCTGCAGGCAGAAAGTTAGAAGAATTACCTCAACAGCAAAGTAGCAAACAAATGGTTTTTACCTTATTTAATTAGGAGAAAATGTTACCACCTGATCAGATTATCTCTGATACTCTACAAAGACTTCATAAAAACAACTAAGCACACCTATCTACTGCAAAACTATAATCAAACAAGTGTCTAAAACATAAAGGAAAGAGTGGACTTTGCTTTAATGCATGTGATAAATGCCAGATTACCCATGTGAAATCAGCAGAAATCTTGGGAAACAGAAGCAGAGACAACTAAAAGCCAGTATTCCAGCCCTTCCCCAACTTCACGCCATTTCCCTGTCCAATCATTCTCTTTTCCTCACCTCTCTGAATTCCTAGAAATCTGAATTCTTCAACTTTAAAAATACAAGATGACATCTTCACATTTTGTGTAGCTTTCACTAATCTAAAAAAGAAGTATAAGTGGAACAAAGTACAGCAAACTCTGACAAAGGACTTCATTGAAGTTTTAAGATATCAAGGCAGAAAGTTTTTAAAAATTGTAATTATAAGGCTTATGGAAGTTCGGGGTTTCTTTTGGAGGTATAAATGTTAAGCCACTTTAACTGTTATTTTTAAGTGGGTCTCAGAAGACTTGCATATTGGGACACTTGGGTTGTGAAACACAAGCAGTCTTAATTACAAAATAGGCATTCTTGTCAGCCACTTTGTAAGGGGAGGGGCAATTCAATTTAGATGTAAAACCTGTTTTTGCTAAAGCAATCAATTCCTACTGGAGCAAAAATAAAGACAGTGAAAGTACGACTCAAGGCTATCCTTTTCCCAACTAAAAAAAATCTCAAGCACAATTACTAAAAAGAGGAAAAAAAACAACTAAACAAACAGTACAGAACTACTTATAAGCAAAGACTCTATACAACCACTTACTGAGAGCCGGTATTTCACTTATCAAATACTAGCACCACTTAATTTGACTCCATCAGTCCCCACTGACTGAAGAGCAACAAAACATTTAAGAGATGTGGAGTGTAGCTGTTTTGAATTTGGACTCTGGATTGTAACTGTCCCTAACCACGTTCTCTCACAGAACAACTTCTGACAATTTATTCTCATCTATTCATTCTCATTCACCTCTACACAAGCTTTTGTGAAAGGAAACTCTTTCATCTCCCTTCCTTAGTTATTAGCTTGTGGCAACAGGAGGAACAATCAGAAGCCATTTTACAGGCTTGACATAGAAAAATAAAGTGCATTTTTTTGTTGCTGAGCTCTACAAAGGACCGGGACTAAGCACTACCAGAAACATTCTGAACATGCACTGATATAACTATTAAGATAAAATAACTTAAGTCCATCCCCTTACGTGAACCTTAGAATACAGAAAAGGTCTGATCGTTTGTGTTGTCCAACTGTGATATTTCATTTACAAATACAAGGTTTTCAAGCACAGCTGTAAGTCCAGCAAAGAATGAATTTTGTGATGATTCCCTTAATTCAGGACTGTCCTTTCCCTGCCAAGCTACTTAATGTGGAAAGCCTCTGCTTCCCCCTCTGCAGTCCCCACTGCACCCTTTCTGGCTCTGATGCTCGTCAAATTCTGCTTAATAAATCAATTCTATTCATTAATGTAGCTGAAAATTAGCCCAGCTAAAAGCAGGGTAGTAGCCTCTTCTGGGTCAGCGAATGAATCAAACCTGCTCATGGAAAGATGAGGTCCAGGACACACAAAGGAAGAAGTACAGTTATGTGTCTGGGAATAGAGGCTGGCAAGTGCTTCCTTTCTCATTAGATAGCAGCAAGATTTTAGAGCAACTCAGCTTTTAATCAAGTTAAACACTGTCAACAAAAACCTAGGAGAAATTAAAAACTGCAAAGAAGGCAGTGTAAAAACTGATGCAGAGGTTTTACAGTACAGTAGGACATTGGTTGAGAAGGTTTCCACCCCATTCTGGGTTTGTGACAAGATATAACTGTTTATGGGGTCACAATGCAAAACATACGAGGAAAACATTTTGGATTTTTAGGTTTGGGGGTTTTTTTCAGAGAAATAAAAAGTGGGAGCTTTCTCCCTAACCCATGACTGCACAACTGAGTCAACTTAACAGAGTTACGAGCAGAATCTCTTGACCAGGTTTGGCTGCTGGGGAACTTTGATTCAATTATGGAATTGTTTAAGCTGCTTTATCTTTTGCCTGACAGATCACCACTATACCTCTCATGGCTCATTTCACACCCATTCTCTGCTGGTACAAGTATTTATGCTCCCATAGAGCAAAGCAGATCAGAAAATAGATACAAAGAAAATAATACTGGGGAGAGGGAGAGGAGGAGATGGAGTGTTCTTTATATTCATTTCCTGATCCAGCTTATTGTATGCTCACACAAACAGCTGCCACTTGTGTTTGCATCAGTTCAGAGTGAAAATGTTTACTGTCAGACACGGCAACTCCTCAGGTTCACACTGCTACCAGTTACTCTCTTTTTTATCATACTAATGGACGTTGTCACAATTTTTACTCAAAGAGCACTTCAGTGGGAGCTCAACTGAGTTATGTCAGGACTGCCACAGCCCCACTCCTTCCTTTCTCTTTATTACATAGCTTGATAATTTTGTTGCGCCAGCCCCGGTACAGAGTTGAAAGTGCAGAGTTTGGAGGCAGCTCAGTAGCCAGCTCCCCACTCAATCCCCCACGTGCCACTACATGACAAGCACAGAGGTGAAGACAGACTGAAGTGCTCACCTGCAGCGATTCCAGCTTAGATTGGCTTTCAAAATATGTTTACACAGATGGATGCAAATAGATCCCAGCTCCTCTACCGACACCCTAATTTGCTGGAAGTGTACCAACTGCAACTGAGGTGATATAACCAAGTCTAACTGCATGCCCAAGCTAAGATACCTCACCTGTAGGATACTCTCTGAGTACCTAGACTACTTCAGCCTTGATGTATTTTTTTTTTAGTCTTGCTTCATTATGCAATGGACTCTCCTAGATCCTAAGGCACTGATTACCAAGGTGTCTCCAACAGCAAGACACACGTGCATTACACTTGCTACTGCCGAAGACACAATGCCAGCCTCCCAGGCAAACATTAAGTCTTTTTATCTGGGTATCATATGTAATGGAAGAGGGCAAAAATATGATGTTTAGGCTGTGCCCATGCCCTCCTATCCCACCAGCTTCACCCCTATCGCAGCATGTTATGCCTCCAGACCCCACCATCCCCTATGGCCTTATTCTGCCCTCGTAGGCCCAGATTCAACACACTCCCCGTCATGCTCTTCCCCCCTCAGACATCTGGTTCTCCCCCGCAGACAACCCTCCAACCTTCAAACCAAGCTGCCCCCACTGCCATCCCTCTGTCCCCAGCACCAGATCTCCTCCTCCCCCCAGTGCACCCTTTTGGCTCTTCTGCCCCCTCACCCCAAGGTCAGGCTGCCCCTTGACTTCTCCCCTGCCCTTTCCCTCCCAACACAATCGATTCCCACCCACCCCAGGGCAGACTCCCCTCGCCCTGACACCGCTTGTGCCCTTCCCAAACACCGCCAGTGCCCTTCCTGCTGGCCTCGGGCCAGGCTCTCACCTTGTCCTCTACACCCCCCTCTTTCACCCCAGGCCAGGCTCCTTCCTGCTCCGGTATCCTTCACGACGTTCCACCCAAAACCAAGGCCAAGCTCCCCCTTCTCTGACACCCCTCTTGCCCTTGCTCCCCCAGGCCAGCCCCCGCTCTAGGCCGGGCCGCCCTACATACACACCCGCACCCACCAGGTAGAGGGTGCCGTAGATGCGGAGGGACTCAGCCAGGGCGCTCTGTGTGACGTGCAGCACAGCCCAGGAGCACCGCGGGTGCCAGGTGTGCCCGATCTCGTAGCAGCTGTGGGGAATGGATTTACTCAGCGCCGCCATCTTTGCAGCGCGCGCGCGGAGCGGAGCGCAAGGGAGGGGGCGCGGGGCGCGCGCGGCCGCCGCGTCACCGCCGGTGCCGGGGAAGAGGTCGCGCGGGGCGCTGCGCGCGCCGGGGTTACTCGCGGGCACGGCCGCGCTCTCCCCACACCACCCCCCGCGCGCGCCGCTCGCGTGAGGCCCGCAGCCAATCGGCGGCCGCCGGGGAGCGGCCGGGGCGGGGGTGGCTCGAGCCGCGGGAGACGCGGGGGGGGACGGGGGGAGAGCGCGAGGCCTCCTGCGGGCACCGCGTGTCCCCTCGTGTCCCCCGTGGCCCTCCTGTGTCCCTTCTTGTCCCCCTTGTGTCCCCTGTGTCCCTCCTGTGTCCCTTCTTGTCCCCCTTGTGTCCCCCGTGTCCCGTCAACCCCCGCGGCGCAGGCGTTTAGGTGCCCTGTAGGTTTCAGGTCAGAGTCGCAGCGGTACCGGTTTCGGGATGTCCGGTGCCAGAGTGGCTCCCGCGAGCTGGCCGGTTCTCACCGTGCTGGTGAAAGGTTTCGGTGTGTGGGCAAGGAGTATACACGGAGCTCAGCATTAAAGATCGTCACGGGGCTCAAGTATTTTCCTTCTCGCAGTTTTCTCATAGCCTGCAAGGGCAGCAACATCTCCTTCGGCTCACTCCACCTGTTCAGTCCTATTCCTCCTGTTTATCATGTCATTCTGCATTTCCTCCTGAGCCCCTCAGTCATGTCAAATGCCCTATTTCCTGTCTTAAGTGGTGTGGCCTCCTCACAAATTTAAGGTTTCACTCCTGTGATTAGAATGTTTGTCGGCCAGCTCTAGACTAGAGTTTGATAGACTTCCTGAGGAACAGATTGGCCCTTTGCATGAGTCCTCGTGTAGAACTGTGTATTAAGTGCAAAGTCTTCATAGAAAGAAACTCTTTAATTATGAAGAGAGAGAGTAATACCAGAAAACAGAAAAAATGCATGCACACGCACGCACACACAAACACATGCGCGTGTTCTGCATGTCCCATGTGCCTCCTGCATCCTGTTACCCCTGCAGGGAATGAGCATAAAGAGAAGCCTCCTGCAGCTCACTCCATGAGGTGTGGCTGGCGGCAGCTCCCAGTGCCACAGAAGCAGCCAGGACACACAGACAGACAGATAGAGAGGGAGGTGATTAATTAAAGTCAGAGAGTTAAAGATGGAAGGGACTGGAGGTCATCTCATCCAATATCCCTATTTAAGCAGGGTCCCCTAGAGCACATCACTCAGGATTGTGTTCAGGCAGCTTTTGGATATCTCCAGTGTGGGAAACTCCACAACTTCTCTGGGCAATCTGTTCCGGTGTGCGATCACCCATACAGTAAAGTTCTTCCTCGTGATCAGGTGCAAATTCCTGTGCATCGGTTTCTGCCTGTTGCCTCCTGTCCTCCTACTTGACACCACAGAGAAGAGCCTAACTCCATCTTCTTGACAACCTCCCTTCAGATACTTACAAGGATGAGAAGCAGTCATTCTTCTCTGGGCTAAACGGCCTCAGCTCCCTTCAGCCTTTCCTCATATGAGAGATGCTTCAGTCTCCTAATTACCTTTGGATACGATAGCGTTTTTACAAAACCACAAAGGCAATGACTGATGACACAGTTACAGCTCAGTTGCAAAACTGGCATCTGGTTCCAGCTAAATTTTGATAATTTAGGTCCTAAATGGGCTGTGTGTATCAGGACCTGGGGATTTTACTTGGGTATTTGTTAAGCAACAGTTTGCAAATGCTCTGTTCTGATGGAGCAAGTACACACTCTATCTCTTGTGCCATGGTGAAGTCAGGAGGATATTGTTTCAAAACCTAGGTGAGAGATACATCCTGAGGTCTATAGGAAGATCAGCAAACGAACCTGCAGTCAAATGCAGACTTGGAACAGATCCCCCTTACAGCCTGGCTCCAAGTTGTCCTGCTGAGCCTGCTGAGTTCCCCTCCCCGATCAGACTTGAGACAGCCTGTAGCACTGCCAAAAATACAGAGCAAATTTGTCACTGATTTTGCAAACCCATTTACCGTTCTTCCAAAGGAGCCTGCTGTAGATGCAAGAACATACTTGCATTTCAGTTTTATCAGCCTATAGATGTGCAGGTTGGATGATTCACAGAACTTGGGGCCACTGAGAGACTGTTTGCAGACTCCCAATAAAGCTGCAGCAGGAGATTGTTGGCCTAAATAGTTCAATTATGCTATTTCAGTCAAGCGTGCTTTAGGTAAAACTCTGTCTATGACAGTCTATTTAAAATCTAGTAGGAGACCCTAGAGATAACTTTAAATTCAGCTTTAGTGCTGAGGTGCAGCTCCCCTGCAGCTGTGGTTGCCTGGCTGCCTAACGGAGTGGATATTGCTGTGTGCTGACTCTCGTAGGGAAGCAGCCTTAGCAAGATAACCTGCTACAGCGTTGTCTGGACTTTGGCTGGGACCTTGCTTGCTGGTTTTGTATTAGTCTGTAAAAAAACTGCTTGTGGGCAGAAAAGGCAATTATTGCCTAAGTGACGGATTCTGGCTCTCTTTGCTTGCATGTTTTGGCTTTGATACTACTCTGGGCTTAAGGGTTGCTTGCTCCCTTGTAGGCAGGGAGCTGTGGCACGTACGATAGTAATAATTGCACAAACCAGTGATTTCACATCTGACACATGTTTTTGCAGACAGTCTTAATTTTGGGAGGACTTGCCCTGCTCAAGTTAAGGAAAACTCGTAAAGAGGGACTCTACAAGATACTTTGTTCATTTGTGCAGCACCGCTGATCTGGGTGAACAGTTGCCTGCTCAGAATTGGAGGCTTTTGTATCTCTCCTTTTGGGTCAGCTGAGGACGCCTCTGATGATGTACTGATAAAGAAGGCAGCACAGCCCTGACCTTCCTCCAGGCCCTTTTCCATGGGGTTGCAATATCCTGGGAAGAAGCCCTGCGGGTAAAACAGCATTGGAATACTGCTGATGGCCCAATTGGCATTGGATACCACTCCAGGATACTCTGTCCTGGGAGAAACCTAACCTTGTTGGATCAGGGACAGAATAGTCTCGGAAAAGGATGGAATCTCATTAATTGAAAAGACATTGAGGACCTTTAGTTTTGCCCTGTAAGCACATGAGGTTTTCAGGAACACTCCGTATTGCATGAACAAGGCTCTATACTGGGAATAGCAGAGGGTGTCTATAATGTTACTTAAACGAACACTAGTGGTAAGTCCTGTGGCATAAAGCCAGGTTATGTGGCACACACTGTCCAGGACTTGCCTTGTAATATTTAGGTGCCTTGAAGAATGCTACTCAGTGTAGTCCCAAAAACAAAGCCAGGAATGAGCTAATCGCTAAGCAATATAAATGGTGGGGGAGTTGAGAGTGCTCAGTTTACTCCCTGGTCCTTGTTGATGTAGCATTGTCAAATATACCAATGTGCCTGAATAAAAATGTAGGCTGGCAAGAATATCGGATGCATGAGCCTCATTAGACTAGGAGAGCAACAGTATCCCAGGCTCCATGCCTTGTGCCATAGAAGGGACCGACGTGGCAGCTTTTCACTGCATGAAGACTCTCTGTTCCAGTTGCCCACATACCTGTTTGAAGCTGGGTTAACAAAATGCAGCTTTCAGCAGAAGTCCCAGGCCAGACTCACTCTTTAGCAAGATACCTTAACTGATGGACAGTACAGCAATCCTTTAGTTTACCTGTACTGATAATACTAGGGAGTCAGATGGCTTGGGTAGCAATCACTGAATGAAGAAAAGTAGGGCCTGTCTTTCCAGGGTTTAGTTGGTCTCACAGTCTGAGAACATTCTCTGCTGCTATCTTCAGCATCTGCTAAGTCTGATATCTGCAAATAATTAACATATCTCAGCCCATGAGAGTAACTGAAGGTGTGAAGATTTTCCTTTTGCCTTCACACTGAGCAGCTATCAGTGTTAGGAAGTGGTCTAACTGGGAATCTGAGTCAAAGAATTTAACTAATTAAAACAAAATCAGGCAGAAAAAAATAAACTGAGGAAAAAAGCCAACCAGGGAACTTGACATTGCAGGAGGCTTAGCCTTTCGAATGCATTGGGATCTGGGAAATCTTACTTCTAAACATTTTTAAATATCAAAACAATCTGGAAACATTTTAACTTGGAAGAAATGTTATGCTTTGCCCTCTCTGGTCCCTCATGTTGCTTTCCAACTTGTGTGCTTTTTTTTGCTATGTGTTTGTTTTCTCCCTTGGGACAGGTGATCTGGCTTTTCCCTGCTACTCATGTAGTTTTCAGTGCCTGAACTTTGGTTCTGGAAGTAACTTCTCTTGTCTGATGATAAGAACTGCTCTTTCCAGCAGAAGGGTATTTTGCGTTCACTTATTTTCCAGCTTTTCCCATTCTTCCACTTTCATTGTTATTACCCTTCAGTTTGTTCTCCTGCCATCCGTGCCGTTGTCTCATGCCTCCATCATAAAGTTTATGAATATGAAATCCAGACTGAAAAATATTCTGCTGCTAAAAAACTAGGGATTAAATTCATCCTTCTTCATAGTTTAGTGGTAACAATGTGTACATGCAGATATCTACTTCCTTCAGTAAAATGCATAGGAACTTGGAGATGTTGCTCCAATTTTCATTTCTTCTCAAAATCCAGGACAAATGTAAGTAGAGTATATAGTTAGTTTTGTAGAAAAAAACCACAAGTTTGTAACATACATCACTAATACATGGAATGGCTGTATTGAATGGGAGTGAATGGCCATTAATGGAGCTGATTTACCTTCCTTCAAGGAAAGAAAGACTCTTTAAGGACTACTTTTCACCCTTGTCCCCAAAACTACTTACATTTTAAACTTAACCCATTTTGCATTATTTGAAGAGGAATTATCTTCTGGCTTGCAACCATGAATCATACTTGCTCATTTTTTAGCAGCAGATAATCTCAAAATACCCTTGTGTTTGCTGATATTTCAAGGTAAAGGAATTATCTGGAAGTTTTCCCATTTTCCAGATATAATAATGTCCAAAGTAAATACAAAATGGACTGTGGGATAATATGCT